AGTTTTTGAATTTTCATCTTTCAAATTATCTTCTTCAACTCTTTTGGTATTAAATATCAAGGTTCAAAGCTTTCATATCTGTCTTTATCGTCTTAATGGTCATTTCAATCAGCTTCATACATTCTATATTGAATTGACTCCTATACATCGTCCAGACAAAGAAATTGAAAATCAAGTTAGTTCTACAAACAAAATTAATTTGCTTTTGAATTTTGTTTTTTTAGATAAAAATACCGCGCATCTTAAGTGTTTTTCTTTATCATGTGTCTTGGAAACGACATCTTACGATGAATTAATTTTACCACTTTTTTATCGAATGTCAAATTTAGAAAAACTTGACGTATATCTTTCCATCTTTGTTCTTGAAAAATTTATTGATGGAAACAATTTGAAGAAAAATATTCTTAATCGTATGTCACAATTAAATCAATTTTCATTTCATATTCGTTCTTGTATGTGTATTAATAATGAAATGAATTTGTCATCAAAACAAGACATTCAATAGACATTCACAGGTTTTAAAGATATAACAAATCATTTTCCAGGTGGATTATATCCATATGTTCGTGTAGTATCATTATATGATGAATATCCTTTTGAACATGAATTTCTCAATCATTTTCATTTATGGAAAACTTAACTTTGATTAATCGTCATGCACAAAATTACAAACAATCTTATAAATCAATGAATGATAATCAGAATTTATCAATTGTTAAATATTGTTATCTTACTGAACTTGATATTCGATAAGTTCATGATGATTATATCGTCGAAGAATTTTTATTTAAGACAAAAACATATTTACAAAATCGTATTCTTCTTCGTGTTGATTGTAAATCATTAGAAAGAGTAACACATAATTTTACAAGAGATGATACAAGAATTAATTGTGCCAAAATAAATGAACTATATTTATTCAGCAATGTGAAATATTCGAAATCTTTACATAATTATTTTCCTTTTGTAAAAATACATTGATTTTTATCATTTTTTATTTGTATAAAATAGATTATTATTGAAAGGCAAAGAATTAAAAAAAGAGAACAAAATAAAAAAAAAATCTTGTGTATGGTTGTGAGAAAATAATGTCTATGAAGTAATCACTATGTTCATGTGTGTAAGAAGATAAATTTATTTTGTCTAATAAAAGTATTTGTATAAATCAAGACATTCAAGTATTGATAAAGGACTTTTTATTTTACACTCAGGGCAACAAGCTGATTTTTAGTACTAGAAATCACTTGAAATCATAATGTCAGTTTGTTCCTTCTTGATTTTATGCATATTTATTTGTCAATATAGATGATAAGAAAATTATCATCAAAGACATAATTTCTAATGAAACATAAATATTCCTAAACACAATTTTTTTGAAAAAAAAAACGTAAAATAAAATAGATGATAAAATTAATGATTGCTATACAATACAATATTCATGGTGTAATGTAATCGATCAAATAAGTGTAAAGAAGAAATCCAGGCGACGGACAAGATTCTATCTACTTCAAAAAAAATTGGATTACATTTCAAGTACAATTGGAGTAGAGCTGATGTACGATGAAGTCGAGCTTTTTCTCCGTGAGTTCATATTTTTCATAATATTCATCATATAGAATATGAATTGTCAATAATCAGCTAAAATGAGTCATTAGATTCATACAAAAAAAAAGAAAAACACGTATTATGTAATAAGTGAATTAGAGTGTAACATAATAATTTCATTGTATCATCATATATTCTAGAAAATAAATATACTGTTTAGTTAAATACCTTGTCTCTTTTCTTAATAGTTATATTATGCAGGATTTCGAATCATAGATAACATTAACTGATAAGAAAGACAACAATGGAGTAACGTTCATTGACGTAAAAAAAACGTTATAATAATGAAATGAAAATATCTCTTCGTAAAATCATAATAGAAACAGAAAGATATCGTATAATATTGTGCTTTACATGAAATACAAACATTTAATATTATTCAACTAGAAATATATATATATATTCAGCAGATAAGCAATATGTTTATTAAAATTCTTGTTCTTCTGTCATTTATTTATAACATTCATCTTGCACAAGTGTTCCTATGTCACATAACCCGCAACAATTCACTATTACTGCCGAAAAACTTAAGGACTCTCTACAAATCGACATAAACTATGTTGATCGTTTAGCAGACCTTTTCCGCATTGATGTAACTAACGAAGGTCGTTTCACTGAACCAAGAGAATTATTCAGATATGTTATAGCAATAGTAGACGTTATCTTATGCTGGCAAGACAAAGTTTATCAACAATCCGAATTTAGAATATAACATGTGGAATAAAATTGTGCAATTTCAGACATGGAGTTATCTTGCTTCTGCTAAAGATAACATGTCAAATAAAAATCTTGAATTATAGTATTCTTATATCTGTGTATAGAAATTATACTGTTGGACCACCTGTTGTGCCAAAGAATGTTTTTAATTTATCTGTTCTATACGATACATGCAAATAAATAGATTCTAGTCTTTATATAACAATACTAATTCAATGTTCATCTTTGTGTCATTTTTATTCTCTCTGTTTCAATAGTTGATAATTATCATATAATAAAGATAAAGTTCATACACTACAGAGTACCTATTAATTGACAAAGACACGAACAGATTTAATCTTAGCATGCTCACTTTTTTGTTGTTGAAACATGTATATTGTCTGCAGAAGTAAGAAGTCTCAAAAAATTTTGAATACGCGAGATTTATAGTTGGTTTGAATCTATTTTTAATAGAAAGAAAAGCAACTAAAATCGAATTTATTTGCATTATTCTTCATTGTGGTGCTTGCGTGTTAACTGTAGACTATCACAAAATATTTGCTGTTGAATAGTAATCATTGTTATTTATTGGCAATAAACGTAAAAATTTGTTGCTAAAGAAAAACTCAACCAGATAAAAAAAAAGTAATTCAAGTTCTTCGGTGTAAGAAATCACATATCTCTAGGAAGCTTCGTTTTGATAGAGATAGATGCAAAAGACAAATCAATTTATTAAATGTTACAGCTTGCGTACAAATGTCGGAGACTAAATAAGGTGTT